GTCAGAGCGGCAGGCAACCCTTCGATTGTTTAAAATAAAAATAAAAAGAAAAGCAAAAGTAAAGCAAAAAATAAAACGAAAAAAATAAACAAATAAATATAAAAAAAAGAAAAAAATAAATTAAAATACTAAACAAAAAATAAAACGAAAAAATAAATAAATAAATATAAAAAAAAGAAAAAAAAATAAAAAAGCTGCACACACACAAACTTGAATTCTGATCTCTATGAACGGAAATTCAGCGAAACTGCAACATTTTAATACACAAAATTTTATTTTTTTTTGTTTTTATTTTATATATTTTTTATTCTGTTTTTAATAAAACAGAAAACAGTAGAAATACACAAAAAATAAATTAAAAAATAACAGAAAAAAACGCATATCACCGAAAAATAAAAAAAAAAAAAAGCTGAATTTGCATAGAAACATGAAATAGAGGAATGCATAAAACAGAAACGGAAACAAAAAAAAAAAAAACAAACGAACGCTCAAAAGTAGTTATAATTTATTTTTTTAATTTAATTTATATTTATTAAAATAAATTAAATAAAAAATAAATTAAATAAAAAAAAGTTTCTCGGAATATGCACAAAAAATTCAGGTGTACATGCAGCTGAAACTGACGGCGCGCAGCTGAATGAACACGCCGACGATCCTCCATTATTTTCGATGAAATTCATCAAATTAAAATTATTTTTAAATAAATAAATAAATATAATATTATATTTAAATAAATAAATAAATATTATTTATATATTTGAGAAGAAAAACCAACAAAAGAGCAGCTTGCTCTCTGAATCGACGGCAGCATGACGCATTGGTTTCGTCGCACTTCGTTATTCTTTCGCCTTCAATATTTTCTTTTTCTTTTTCTTTTTATTTTTTTATTTTTATTTCTTTTTCTCTCTGCTTTCTCTTCTGCTGCTCAGCAGCCAGACCCTTCTTACTCTCCTGAGGCCCCCCCAGGCTCAGTGGGCGGCCTGGCGGTTCCCTCTCCTTCTCCTTCGATTCGTTCACCCGTCCTCGGCAGCGGCTTACAGCAGCAGCAGCAGCAGCAGCAGCAGCAGCAGCAGGCTGCTGCTGCTGCTGCTCCATATGCAGCGGAATCTGACCCGGACCCAGACGCTGGCCCCCCCCTCGACGGCGATGCTTTCCCCCGTGGCGCAGCAGCAGCAGCAGATGCTGCAGCAGCAGGAGCAGCAGGAGCAGCAGCAGCAGGTGATACATCTGCTGTTTCTCCTCTAGCGGGCTCTATGCCTGGCTCTGTTCCTGGAGCAGCGAACGCAGCAGCAGCAACAACAGCAGCAGCAGCAGCAGCAGCAGCAGCAGCAGCAGGAGGACAGCATGAATCCCCACTACAAAAGCTAACTGAGTTTCGGCCTCGGCATCGAAAAACAACAGATGGTCGGCTTTGT